CACCATAACCACCAAAATCNCCTCGAGATTGAAAACGAAATCGGTAAATTTGTAAAACCCAGAAACCAATTTCATCTACTGATTCTTGAGTTACAGAAACGAGATTCCATCTGTGTATCTGAAATTTGTTGTATGTGAATCGGACATTTTTTTGGAGATCTAGATCGGTCTTTTATCTGATTCTTGTATCTCCGATTTCGATTATGAATCTCTTACTCGCAATTTGGCTTTGATGATTCCGATTGATAGGTTGTTTATCTTTCTAATTTTTGAATTGTCATGTTTAACGATGAGAAAAGAATAAATGTGTTTTAATACTAATGTTTATGAGTGGGAATTTCGATTGTCCATTAATTTTTCTTATCTTTAAGATTCTCAAGGATATGTTTTTTTCTCTTTATGTGGACATATAAGTTATATAACTCTGATAGTGACTTGAGTTTCTAATTTGTAAGCAAATGTGTTGCCTTTATTGACTTTCAGATTTTAAACATTATGGAATCTTTGTCTTGATCCTCCTATTCAAGTTGTTTTACAGGTGTATATCTTAAGGCTACTACTGTGAGCCAACGATTAAGTGATTGATTTCTTCTCTCAATCGGCTTTATAGTCTACAGATAACCACGCTTTTCTAATCTGGAAATGGTTAAGAGGTGATTTTGTATAAATGTTTCATATAGAGTTTTCTTTTAGCTTTGGCAAAACTTGTTAGGTGTTTTTTAATTTATTTATGTTTGCAGATATGGAGAGTTTTGATTTGCTTAAGATATCATGTCACAGTGCATAGAGGGTTTCAAGCATTTGTGCACCTCTGTTTTAGGGTGTTTTGATCTTGATTTGTATAAACAATCTGGTGGCCTTGGCGATCCTGAATTGCTTGCGAGAGACACAGTTTGTAAGCTATCGGTTTATTTTTTGTTCGGTTTATATGATTCCAAGGACTGCAAAATCTTTCTTTTTGAAAATTGTGGTGATTGAATTTGTTGTGGGTGCAGTTAGTGTGAGTGAAATAGAAGCTCTTTACGAACTGTTTAAGAAAATTAGCAGCGCCGTGATTGATGATGGGCTGATTAACAAGGTATAAGTGTGATCTTTTTGCTTAATAGTAGACACAATCTGTACAGTTTACTCATCTCTTGTTAACTTTGTATCAGGAAGAGTTTCAGTTGGCTTTGTTTAAGACGAATAAAAAAGAGAGCTTGTTTGCAGATCGGGTAATGTTTCTTTCTTCGTTATGAGTGTGTGTTCGTAACACATTTTGTCAAGATCATGTTTTAGAAGAAATGATGAAATAAGTGATTTGGTTTTCAGGTCTTTGATTTGTTTGATACAAAACACAATGGAATACTCGGGTTTGAGGAGTTTGCTCGTGCTCTCTCTGTCTTTCACCCAAGTGCGCCTATAGATGACAAAATCCATTGTACGTCCCTAATAGCTTGAGCTCAGAAACCAAAATCTACATGTGGTCTCAAAATTCATGGTATATATATTGTTTTGGCAGTTTCATTTCAGCTATATGATCTTAAACAGCAGGGGTTCATCGAACGGCAAGAGGTAAAGCTTTCTTATCTCGGAATATCTTCATAATACCACTTTATTTTTACCAACATTATCGTCGCTCCAGGTGAAACAAATGGTTGTCGCTACCCTTGCTGAATCCGGAATGAACTTGAAGGATACTGTCATAGAGGATATAATTGACAAGGTAACTTGGTTACTTTTCCCACTTACCCCAATACTCTCTATGCGTTTTGGGTTGAAAAGTAATTTCTCCGAGTTTTGGATTGTTAAGACGTTTGAAGAAGCCGACACAAAACACGATGGAAAGATCGATAAGGAAGAGTGGAGAAGCCTTGTTCTTAGACATCCAAGCCTTCTCAAGAACATGACTCTTCAGTATCTCAAGTGAGTTCCAAATCCCAAAATGCATCTACTTATGTAACAAGGAACTTGAATACGTTACAAACAGATACTACTTCGTTCTCGATGTGATGTAATAAAGAACATGTTCTTGTTGTGTGCTTGCAGGGACATCACGACTACGTTTCCGAGCTTTGTGTTTCATTCTCAGGTTGAAGATACCTGAAAAAACACAATAGGCAAGCAACAAAGACATTTCAAGTGTTGGGATTTGGTCTTTTTGCATTTGTTCCATTTCTAAATCTTTTAACTCGTTATTTTTGGTTTAGGTTTTTTGTGAAACAAATTTTGTTGTTTTTTGGTTCATCTTTTTTTTATTTCCTCTCGGCCTTTCTGTAGATACAACCTTTTTGCATTTTTATCTTATATGATATGTAAAGTTTCATTTCCATTTACGTCATAGTTAAAAAGTAAGTATTTTAGAACATAATTTTGAAAGTAATATATTTATTTTTGTAATGAGGTAGAACACAATAGATTGATTCGTATATTTGTATAGTTTTAAGTCGTGAGCATATATGTTTGTCTATAAAAATAAATTAATTCAAATCTGAAATAATTTTTGTATATAAGAAAATTAATTTGATAAAAAAAGTTTGTAGTGATCCCCTTGCTATTAAAAGGGAAGTACAATTAGTAAAATAACTTATTTGTTTTAATTTTATTGGCCTAAAAATATGACATGTTTTTGTAAAAATGATGACATGGTTTAAAGTATAATAGTATATAACTTTCTT